TAATTAGTCAAATGTCAAAATAACTGATTGAATAATCGATTACGAAAGTAATCGTTGGTTCAGAATCAGTCTTTACTGTCACTGTACAACAAAATTTAATTTCAGTTCATTCCATCCAAAGTAATCTGGGACAATAAATTGAACTATAAAAATGGGCTTTTATAGGTTCATTTATTTGTAATTACTCAACATTTTGAACATAAAGCACAACAGCACTTTGCATAGTAAAAACTATCAACTGATTAATTACAACGATGTACTTATAAAAGACAAACAAAACAGAAACAACAGAGAAAAACATTCAAGACTAAAGCAATAAATAATGAATGTCATTTTGAAGTAAATCAGACAATTAAAATATCCCATATAAAAGTAATGGAACTTAATTGACCATTTCCCACAGAGAATAGCACTATTTACTATTTTTTTTGTGTATTTGCAAACATATGTTGTGGTGTATTAAGATAAAAATAGTAAAAATGTGTCAATTGTAGCCAACAAGGACGGTCATTTTAACACCTAAACAAACTCATTTCCTTAATTACATGTCAAGCTTTCAACATGAGCAAAATAAAAAAACATTCAACAGTAGAGTAATCATATTGACTCGAATAAGTTGAGATATTGTAAAATGCATCTTATTTTTTTTATGTAGGAGAAAAACAGATTGTCTGCGAATATCTTCCATTGCTGCTAGTTACTGGATGTCAGTTCAGTCAAATCGTCTCTCTCCTTTCTCTCGCTCTGAGAGTTTATTGCTCTCAGTTTGCTTTAGTTTTTCTAAATCTTGCAGTGTGTCAACTTTTAGCAGGTCCAGTTAAGATCTCCGGTCTTGTAAAACATCTGTTGGCATAACCAGTCTTATCCAAACCTGTGAAGACTGTGAGCGTGCGCTGTGTCCCCGGCGTAACTCACCTAGGGCAATGTCTGTTCTGCCGATGTGCTGCAAGGCACGAGAAAGCCTGTCGTAGTAAATCTTTTCACCAAACTTCAGCAGCCAGTTTGACAAGGATGTCCTGCATTGGCTCTTTTCGTCTGCTAAACACAAAACACCAGGCAATTAGAGAAACATGACACTGAGCACCAGGAAGCCGCAACAAGCACTCAAAACTGAGCTGGACATGTTAGGAAGAGCTTCTTTAAAATTATTTTCTTCCCCCCACTGACATCAAACATATTTTTATTTTGGTATTAAAAAAAAAATATTTGCACAATTTTGTAGTTGTTCAACACTGGATTCAGTCTTTCAAGACCAATATTAACATTGCCTCTAAATAAGCTTGTCTCTATTTTTTGCTGTAGTCTTGTTAAAAAATGCATTAAAAATTGATAATGTATGTAACATAAAACAAAAGATGAATGTTTCTTTCTTCTAAAAAAATTGTGATAAAATAAGTTTTAAAAAGTGTTACAAAAAAGTAACATTTTGTAATAAAAATATCAAAATAATTAATTTAAAAAAAATCTATGTACTGCAACAAGATTCCCCCGCTAGACTAGAATAATAAATCAGTAACATCGTGTATCTATAGCAGCAATGCTTTGTTCTACTGACTATATTTTATCTCCCTCACTGTTTTACTTTGACATTTTCCCATCTAAACTTTTTTGATGACCCGTTATATAACTCCACATGGGAACAGTATTCCACCACCTGATACAAAAAGAACCTTCAACGATTTTAAGAGGGGTCAAAGGTCTCAAATGACCTGTGAACCAACCTGCAGCAAAGGAGGCGTCTCTCTTGGCTCGAAGTCTAGAATTCAGTCGATTATTTTCCAGAGAGAGACGTTCAATGCGGTGAAGAATGTCCTCCGCTGGGCGAGACAGGGCAAGCAGGAGCTTCTCACACTCTCTGGAGGTCAGCATCTCCACTAACCGCTCCACCTGATGAACTCCAATGTCTTCTGCCACTGGAAGTCCAAAAATAAGGAATAATGGCAGCAGCATGCACAAAAACGAAAGCAGATAGCAACAAGTTGTGCTGTAGCTACCGCCACGTAGCTTGTGCATTAAACTGTCAGCATCTGAACTCCAAAACTCTAAATCTGTGGAAGTGTTTCTTCCTGCTCTGTTTCTCTCACCTGTGTCATCCTGTGCTGAGCTCTGGGACAGAAGAAGGAGAAAAAAGAAACACAGTTTATAGACTTCCATGTCAGCTGTTCAGTGATGGTCTGTGCTCCTTCATCAGTTTGTACAAACAAACTTAAACTATGTCTTAAAGATAAACACGTCTCAGAAGCTAATCACCATGGATACTGTTGCTATACTAAAAATAATACATTGTTGATAGTGTGTTTACTAACATATTTGGATATTAAAAGTAAATTTTAACACAAAAAAATACAAGTTATATAAATAAAATGAACTGAAGAAAGTTTAAAATTTTCTTTGAAAATTTCAATTCTTGTTGAGGAATAAATTAAGGCATTCCCACATTCATTCCCAAATAACTTATGTGTTTTATATCAGAGGCACATAATTATAACACTGTAACGTCACATTAGGAGAAATTTGCTCTGTTTGTATCTCAGACAGGAAGTTTATAGAGGAAGTTGTTGCAGATTATGAGTCTGGTTAAGTGTTTATAGAGGTCTAAAGAGAATTAGAAATCAGCCTGAATGGAAACTTTCCTAGAAGTGGAGGAAATCCGAAACAACTTCCCACACATACAAGTTCAACGTGAATGCAGACAGCCGGCTATTAAGTGAAGTCTCCAGGGACCCTTAAGTCATCATGAAGCAAGGTCTTACTGTTAAAGATGATCTATTATGCTTGTTTTTAAACAGGTTGGAGTAGGTCTATCGGTTGTTCAAAACATGTTTAATACATTTTTTGCAGTTATTTTCAGATAATGAGATTTCATCTCCTCAGTTCTGCTTTTTTTTTTAGCTTCTTTCAGAATCAGATGTTTTATGACACTGTCACTTTTATGCAAATAAGCTTCTGCTGGCCATGCCTCAGTGTTTACATTCACTAATATTTTATACAAGTGAAAATCATCTTTTTCTTTTAGCGTTTCCTTGGTTTAAACCTGTCAACATAATGAACTTTGGTTTGGTGGAAGTTATCAGTCTTTACTTCAGTTCAGTCCTTATAGTACTCGAATATTTGAGACATATTTTTATTCAGCTCTAAGTGTTAGTTTGTAGTTATAGTTCTCTGTGTGTTTTAGTTCCAGCTAACATTAAAAACCAGCCGTTTCTATTTATTTGTTTCTGTGTTGCTTCGCTGTTCACTTCAGATCTTTTGGGTTGAATCTGGATCATTTCTTACGTTGGGTTGAGTCTCTGGTTTGTTTATATTTCTGCTTCCTCACAGCTGCACCCTGTTTCCAATCTACCACCTGTTCCTTGTTCAGTAATCAATCCCTCTTGCTTAAATTTGATGGTCAGTTCAGTTTCTTTCCTCATGTGACTGCTTGTAGTTTGGATTCACCCACTGACTTTATTTTAGCCTTTTGTTTTGCTTTAAGTATGTTGTTAACTTTTGTCTGCCTGGCTCCTTCCTGCATTTTGAGCCCTGAATTTCACTTGACAGTCAGAAACCCTGTTCTTGACCTGTCTGGTGTTTTCCTTGATGCTCATGATGTCTGTTCAATAATGTTCTTTTAATGTTCTGACATTTTGATAGAAGAGCTGTAACTTTACTGGGATTAAATTACCCACTGTAGTGTTTATCACTAAGGTGATTTCTGAAGGGAATTGGATGCTCTTGACTATATTTAGGCCTAGCATCATTTTCACAAATGTGAAAATGAATATACAACACACTTCAAATTTTTAGAGCATTTTGGAAACCATGCCCTTCCACACAGTTGTGTGCTACTTTGTGATGATCTTTCACATAAATTCCTCAAAGAAGCTTGTAGTAAAAAATCAGAAGCTTTGAAAACAGTTTTTGGCAACACTTTATTTGAAGGGGTGTGCATAAGACTGACATGACGCTGTCATAAACATGACATAACACCTGTCATGAACATAAAGGAGTCTTTATGAATGTTTATGACAGTTGTCATGAAGTGTCATTCGGTAAATAATGGCAAAGTTGCTCTAAAAGTTGCATTGAAAGTTAATTAAAAATGCCAACTTTGCATTAAATTGTCATTATTTACAAAATCATGGCCTGATGCTGACAATCAAACCCAAGACAACTGTGTCTATTACTATAGCCTCTGCATGTGGTACAGACACTTAAACATGTTCCATACATTAACCATTTTCTTTTTATTGCAAGATTCATGCTGCAGGTAGCAACAAATCCCTTAGATATATTATTTTAAAGCATTGCAAATGTGTATGAGAACAAAAGGAATGGTTCATGTGAATTCCTGTATGTGTACCCACACTGATAACCAAGGGCTATGAGCATGTCACACTTTTATGATTTTTGCATATTAAAAAAATATCAGTGGTTGTCATAAACCAAAGAGTCTGTTCACAGCCCTGTGGCTGTAGAGCTCTGTTGCTAAAGTCAATTGAACTTAAAAGCGCTACCCAGATCAGGCCCGGTTAGACCCTGAAGATATACGCTCCATACAGTTTGAAAACCCATACTACTAGTCTATGCATGGTATCTGTGGCTCACACTTTACAAAGAGTGAACATGGCTGCAAATGTGGGTTGCAGAGAAGTAAAAAAAAAAAAAAAAAAAAGCAAAGACTTTTATGTCTGTTTCGCCTTCCATTGCAGAACTTCAGAGTATTATGCTGGAAGTGGTGGAGATGCATCTATTTAGCAGGGAGAAAATGTTTAATGGCATCATTGTGAGGGCTATGGCGAGGGCATGTTTTAAATTGTTAATAAGCTTCATCTGCCAAGAAGTAAAGCTTGTTTGTGTGGGCTGGAGTCTTAAATTCTCCATGTGGGCTAATGAAAAAAAAAAAAAATCTGCTCAGGGGCTGAGAAACACAGAAGCTCAGGAGTGGGTGGCATAATGGTTCTGCGATGATTTGAGATGATGCACTATTAGAGCAGGAAAAAAAAGAAAAGAAACGCAGGGCAGGAGGTCAGGAATTTTATTCATGTTACATTACAGTTTCCTGCAGATAATCCAAGGTTTACATATGTAGCATGAAATAAAGACGGATAATAAAAAAATATTTGATTGCTGATAAAGTACAGGAACAAACTAACTGACTTGTGTGCTGGTGTCCTTCTTGCAATCTGGTCGGCTCCTGAAGTCATGCGTCCATGTCTTTTGCACTTCACACCACTGAAATCTGGTTAAATACAGATACAGACTCCGGTGGAATGAAGGATAGAACACATGGAATATTCCTGCAGTGTCTGAAATAAAAAAGGACAAAATCACACAGTCAGAACATCTTTTCTCACACTCTGATTCTCACATTTCCCTAAGGTAATGAAACACAATCAGTATTTTTTATTTTTTTTGCAGCAACAGCAGGTCCTAAGTCACATTAAGATAAGCCTTTAAGCTTTATTTTCAGTGTTAAGCTTTAGGATAGAGGCCAACCCTGAAACCTGGTGCAGTCTCAAGCTGTGACTCCATGATTTATGAGGAAGCCTCTGAGGCTGAAGAGGCGGCAGTGACTGCCCCAGGAGTTGAATGTCGACCTCTCCCTTTTTTTTTTCTTTCCGTGAGTTTTAAGTTAAACCCGAGCGAGACCGGGCCTGCCCTGCACCTTGACTCCAGGGTTTCCGTGCTGCAGGTACGATCCGTGACTCTGACAGGTTATCACAAGTCTGAGCTGAATTCTGCTTCAGTCATCAGCAACACGGACCCACATCAGCCCCTCTCAAGCTTCCCTCGCTATCAGCCCACCCAAGATTTGTGTTCCCGGGGTGAAAAAACATTTTCTGTTCGAATCACCTGCAACTTTCCAGTAGTCACCATTCTATGTGTGATTTACTCACTTCTTCTGACCCCAAATTTACCTCTTATTCTGCAAATCCTCTACTTTAAGATAAAATCAATCTGATTTTTTATGTATCTAAATAGTCGACCTAGATGAAGACGTAATACTCACCTTTTATGTTCTGTGGCTCCCACTGGTTTGCAAACAACGATGAAGCTCAACTCAGACTTCATGGAGGTTGAAGGCACTTCTGACAAGCTTTTCACTGACTTTTTTCTCTACCTCATTCAGGTGGTGTTTTAGACAACTGTACCAACCAATAAGATGCAAGCGCCTGAGAAGGACCACCCCGTTTTTTTTCTTTTGTCTTTGTGAAAAACCTGCCACACCTTATCACGCGGAATGATCTTATTACCAAGAAACGTGAATGTAATATTTTAAAACTATGAAAAATGCAGGTTATATTCTTAAAACGAATGCGGTCAAAAATAGATTCACTGTTAGCACAACAGAGTTACCGTCTTATGTAGTTCAAAGGCATTGAAAAAAGAGTTTCATGTAATATTTATCTAATAAGGGCCTTGTGTTCATTATTTGATGAGTCTCTGCTGTAATTTGTTCATTTTTATCCTCCCCTCGAGAGCGAACCGCGTTCTCCATTAGACCAAATTGCTTTCATGAGCTTCTTAAACAAGTTCCTTTAAAAGAAAGGTATTTCGCAACTGTGGCAAGAAAGAAAGAAAGAAAGTGCATGTGCTTCACATTTACATCTGTATGCATAGGATATAATCCCCGTCTTATTAAAATGACTCAGATGAGACAGCGTTTTGTTTCATCTTGTGAAGACTCGTTTCGATTTGTTCTTTGAACTGCATCCAAATATCTTACTTGAGTTTGAAATGCAAGTAAATATCTGGCTTTCAAACCTTCGTGAGAAATGGTGTAATGCCCGACATCCTGCGCCGTGAAAGGAGGGACATTTTGAATAGCATTCCTCTCCTTCACAATGGCAGGGTCGAGGTTGGGGAGGGGTCGGCGGGGACCAGCGGTGCTGACACATTCCTGAGGGCTGCATTGAGCCTCACCTGACCAAGTATTCCTCTCGTGGGAACATTCGTTTATCTCCAATCTTCTTTATGTGTGATTTTATTGACAAGGACACCAGTATCTTTGACTTATGAGCTGTTGTTCCCCAGAGACAGGCTGTGTTTTATCTCAGTGCTTGGTGTGGACCAGATGGCTCAGGACAGTGGGACTTGTTCAGGGTAATCTTTAGGCCCACTTGAAGGTGACGGGTGAAAAATGAGCCTGTAAAAACATTCTGCTCAGAGCAGCTTTGGATCTGGGTAACTAAACAAACTGAAAACGAGTTTCTGAGATCGGTTTGTAGCACCGCTGGTTGAATTGCAAGGTGGCATATGTGTTACGAATGTGTTGTTTTGTTTCACCCTTTCTAAAATCTTTTCACTGAGATTTTACCACATTAGTAGCTTTTACTAAACAGAGCAATTGATTTTTTTTTTTAAATCTGAAGAACTGGATGTTGTTAAAAGATGTAAAGATCAAAAGTAGATGTTCCAGTCTTTCTTTCTGTGTTGATCCTGGTTGTTGGTGAACAAAATCTGACATCAGCCACACCCAGGCTGTAAGGGAGTTACAGCCTGGGTAACTCCCTTACCCAGGCTGTAGTCTGGGTAATCTGCAGTCAGATTTTTCATGGTGGATTTAAAAATAATCACTTTTTGTGTAGATGATTTGTGAAACAATATTTAAGTCATGCACATTATTTTATTGCTCTGTTTTCCCGAATATTCAAAGTGTTTTTCACACTTTGCAGGGATGTTTGGAGTAAAATTGAGTCTTTATTGGCTGCTGACTTTACCAATTAATTGGTCATCGAAGCTGCACACATTAGTTTTCAAAAAAAGCAAAATAACCTATTCTTAAGTCAAATTGGAGGATGCAATTAATGGCCATTGTCTTTTCCTCAGTCCAATATATTTGCAGAAACTACTTATAATGATTTTATTCTTTAAGACACTTCTTATTTTATTCAATATATTTGTTTCTGAATTAAATAGCTACCTGGATGCATCATTCACAATCTGCAGGATCAGGTAACTACTGATTTTAAAACCTTATTCTGAAGTTGCTTTTAAAGTTTTAAGGAAAACCACATCAGGTCAGGACCTGTAAATTATGGAGTCAAAATTATTATATCTAGCTCATGACTTTGTTTACAGCTAAGTAAGAAAAAAACAACATTTCAAATGGCTTCAGGGTTGTGATGACATGTTTACATCTTGCTGGATTTGGTGCTACCTGAATAAAGCAACTCTCCCCCCAAAAGCTTGTAAAATAAAGTAGTTTTGGGTCTAATTCAGTCCCATTTTTAATAAAATACAAATTGTGTTGCATTTCCTATTCGCCAATGTCTGCATTTGTTGGTCAAATGAGGTGGAAGAAGAGCTTCCAGCAAATTGTCTAAGTTCTGGTTGAAGTTATGCCACAAAAGGTGATGATTTAAGTTACAGAAATTTGAACTTAAAATGTCCATTGTTTGGTTTGGTGATTTTCTTATGCTTTCAAACATATATTTAAAAAAATCAGCTAGTATATCAGGCAGGAAAAACATCAGGGATTGTGTACATAAAATGTACAAACCTCATCAGTTTCAAACTCCAAATATCTGCGTAAGTTAAATGCTCACAAACACCCAAGTAACTGGTGGCATTTTGCAGGACTAAAATCCCTGAAGGCAACATACACAGAGAGCAATGGCTCCGTTGCAACATGTCACAGTGAGGAATGTGAGCTTCAACACACTAATCAGACATACAGAAAGCTTCTGCAATGGTACATCCATAAGTGTCAGAGTAACAAATATCTTTACTGTGACCACAGCTGCAAAAATATGCATTTTATGACAGACTGTAGAGTGACAGTGTGTTACTGAGCAAAAACGCTTCTCCTTGTTATTAATTTATCTCATGCAAATTTTGGCAAACTAAACATTAAAACCAAATGTAAAGGTAATTATAATTGAATTTACACTTTTCCGAAATAACCTTCATATGCTTTTTATAAATATTTGCTGAGATAGATGAAGCCACAGATGGCTAAAATCAAAGCCTGAGTTTAAATTTACTTGGGAAAGCTGATGCATAATGTATCATATTGAGGTGACATGTATTCAAAACTATGATTAGTAATGTCATGCATAAATGTAAGAGATGCCTGCTGTTTATTCATGTAAAAAGAATCAAGCTAAATTATGAATACATTTCATATTGTTTGCAAGAACAAAAAACACCTCAAAATACCAAAATGAAAGAGTTTTTCAATTCTGAAATGCTGGGTTTTGCTTCAAAGGCTCCTGTCTTTGGGAAAATTTTCATATTTTTGTTGGAGGTTTAGGATGCTGGTCAGGAATCTGCCCAGAGGTGGTTTCTCTTCCTCGACCCCCCCCCCCTTTATCTCCTTTTCTGACGCCTCATTGGCCGTTTCTCTTCTGATGTGCCTGGCTAGGAATGCGCCTACCTTCTAATGCAGTTTTGTGTTGAAGCAAATTGACAATGAGGAGCACCATCATCGTTTTGGAGCATAAATATTTCATTCCCTATTTGGATGCAGATCCGAAGTGTCTCACGCGGAATACAAATTGGCTGTCAGAACGGCTTGAATGTAACTCAGCCTCTGTGCGAAGATGATTTGTATGAGCTCAAGACAAATATGGTACAAATTTGATTAGGTCTTATTGGGAACCACTGTAAAACAACTGAATAAAAAATAAATAAGGATTTTTTTTATTAAAGGATATAGCTGAAAGATTTAAGTTTGAACAATATTTTATTTGAAAAAGCTGTTAATTGTTAATACCAGCCTTATTCAAAATGGACAAAAAAACACTAAAGACAATTTAGTTGACAAGTATAAAACAAGGCTTCTGTGTTTACTTTAGTGATTTATTGGGAATTCTTTATTTGTGAGGCAAAGAACAAGCAAACTTTATTTAAAAAATGGAGAAAAGGTTTGTTTTTCTTAACACTAGCAGCCTGATAATGCTAGCAAAACTTCAATAACGCAGAAGTTTTGCTTTGCTAGGATTAAGCATGCAGATGTTTAACACAATGCAAATACAAAAAGACATCAAATAGTAACATTTCTAGCATTTCCAAAGAAGAAATTATTATTCACTAATATAAAAAATACATGACAGCCGTTGATCGTACCAGGAGTTGATGTCCCAGCAAATTCACTCCAAGGATCAACCAAGATTTCAATGTCAGACTCTGCAGGCCTTATTCAGCATGTTTAATGTTCTTCACACTCTTAAGAGGAATAAACTGAACAATTGCAGCTCCTATGAAAAGGGTTTGATGAATAAAACATTTCCGCTTCAAAAAGATTATGGTATTATGACTAAAGGGAAATGTGTATTGCAGTGCGTCATTCCAGTAGCCACTGGTCAGCTGGTGCCTTAACGTACGTGTATTGAACACGTTATGCTGAAGAGCACTGAGACTAAGCAGATGGACTGCATTTGTAAATAGGTTAGAAAAGGATAGTGCCACAACCTGCAGTGTCAGCCTGACTCCAGAGGTGTTGGAACTGGGTGCTCTTTCTTTTTTGGACACATTAGACCAAAGTTGATCTGTATCAAGTTTGGGGGAAACGAAACAAAAACTAGCATAATCCATCAACATAAATAAGTAATAAAGGCTACAAAGCATGGCTGAGGAGGGTGAGTATTTGGATTTAAGTCTGGGAATCTTCCAAGCACTGAGCCACCTAAGAGCTGCTCTCTATACAAAAGTATTAAAGTCAAAAATGAGGCCATCTTTTCGACAGCTGAAGCTTGACCCACACAAAGTCATCAAAAGCAAATACAGCAACTAATCTAAAGTGAAGTGTCTGAAAAGAAGAAAGATCAAGGCTCCAGAGAAAGTCAAGGACTCAATGTGAATGAAACGGCGTAGAGAGAGAGCTGGAACTTAAAACATAATTGCCAACCTCATGTTTGAACCAAAATTCCTTCACATTAATGAGAGAAACTGATAAAATCACACAAGAAACAACTCATTATGTTTAAATGTGGCTCTGCAAGTTTGAGTCACAGGGTGTATTTGGTTTTTCCCATGACTGTATTCACCTGAACCAAGGCAAAACATACAAACATACAGCAAAGGGTGATGAACACTTCTCCTGTTACCAAGAATGTTTAAAACTGAGGTGGATTGCTTAAAAAATGTAAGACACTTTAAGCACAAGTGAACAAAAATCACATACATTTGGGACAAGAGCCACTGGATTCATCTGGTTTCTACAGGCTGTAAATTAAGATTGCATAAAACAGTCCCTCATTTGCATAACAGTACAAACCTTGTCGCCCAAAATGAATCATTGGGGCAGGAGCAAGCTGGATAATTCTTCTATTCTTGTGTGAGACAGGGGGTCTGTCAGTACCCTGTGTTTATGCACTTCTCTCACTGACACAGAATGCTCGGTAATAACAGTGGTGGGATGGCATCCCAGCAGGAGTCATTGAAAAAGCTCCTATTTTGCTGCAACATTGTGCCTCCGCCCGATGAGTTTGGGAGCTTGAATGGCTAGTCTCTGCCGTTACTGCAACACATGAATCCACACACACGCATTCTGCCTGGTTTTCTCTTTGTTGAGAGAAAACCTACAATGTCTGTAGCCATTAAGATGTAAAATAAGAAATTGTTTCAGTTTGTGTTGCTACATTTATGATCACATAGTTTCTGGTTTCTTTCAGTGGGGAATACAAAAGCTTCTTGAACACTCCCAGGATTTCTCAAAGCGTGCTGCAACCATACCAGTGAACGGGTCTGGGCTTGTTTTCTGCTCAGAATACCTGTCTGGTATTTCACTAAGCCTCCTCTCCCAAAGAAACTATGGAA